AAATTTGCGGTAAGCGATTCATAAAAAAAAAAAATAAAAGTAACTAAATTGAAAAATTTAATTTTTTAAATTCTGCCAACAAAATTAAAGACGAAATAAAACATGTACAATTAGGACGACCCTAGGATCTCTGGGCTCCTTCGCAAGCGGGCACTTGCGAATATCTCATTGAAATCTTCCAAATCTTTAATTCCATTGTCACTCTTCAACACTTATTCACTTCCTTCTGTTCAGCATCTGCATAAACTTATTTTTGTATTTTGTACTGATCTTTTCTGTGGCAGGGTTTTTTTAAATACACTATCTCATATTAACCACATCAAATCTACTCCTCCTTTCCATTACACACTCTCTCTCTTTGAGTAACGTATGACGCTAACGGCCGATAGATCTGAGTGAGGGCAAATTCCCTTTTTCGTTGCGTCCTCGCCTTAAGACGTTTTGAACGTAACAATAAAATCTGTATCTATTTATAATAAAGTGTAAAGGGGACACACCGGTTCTTGCTGAATCCCTGGCCTAACACAATCGTACGGCGGTGGTGGGTCTATGTGAAAAACCATTCGCCATCATAAGCATCGTACGCCCTTTCACATAGAATCACTGCTGCTGTGCATTTGGTTAATTCCACTGTATCGACAAGTTTGATGAGGCTTAGTGAATATACATATGTGTCATGGCGCCAAAATCTTATACTATGTATGGATGAGCAACAAATTTTTTATTAATTATCTTTATCATTATTTTCTTATTTTCATTGCTTTTCTCATTTAGTAATGAAGGATGAAAAATATTACACAGTATTTTGTGGACACTGTAAAATCTAACGATAGTATATCGATACACTCTAGTGATGAAGTAAAAGAAGAAACAGAATGTAAAAAAGATTCTAAACGAAAACGTAATCGTGTGAAAATTAAAATATCCCGAACGAATGCAAAAGAAAGTGTATGCGACATCATAGAGAGTAGTAGTGATATGATTGATAAAACACCTAGTCCATTTGCAAAAGTAAATAATGTATCTAAAAATTTACATGAAACACCTAAAAGGGTTTCTTTATCATCATCAAAAAAGTACAACAAATTATCAGACAAATCATTAGCTTTAGAAACAAACAATTTAAATATTAAGGACAAAAAGCATAATAAGAAAAATAATTTTAAAATTTGTTTAAATAATAATAATAAAAAATGTAAAAAGGAATTAAGTAGTAAAACAAGTATTGACCATGATGTAAGTATACATGGTATAATAAAAAATAGGACAAATACTGATAATATAGATTTATTAAATGTTAATTGTAACAATGCAATTCGAAGTAATCGTGAAGATTCAAATGCTTTCCAAATTCTTATGAGTCGTAACAAACCAGTTCAGTTTGTTTCACCAACAAAATTTCTTCTTCAAAGTGAAGATGTTAATGCTAAGAAATCAGAAAAATGTAAAGAAAAATTAAAACATTCTAAAGCAAAACTAATAGCTTTAGCTGATAAAAAAGGATATTCTAGAAGAAAACTTGCAGAGATAGAAGAAGGTGAAAAAATTGAACGTATCATACAGAATCGTATGAAATTTTTTAAAGAAGGAGAGAAAAAAGATACACCAACTACAACTGTTTTAAGTCATAAACAACCACCTGGCAATTTGTTAAATTACTTCAGGTAAAAAATTAATAATTTCTTATATTTCATATTAATTGTAAACTATACTTTATTTTATGTATAATAGCAAAACTCCAGTGGATTTAACACATGCAGATATTGCAAATATGTCTCCCATTGTGGTAAAAGCTGATGTACATATGACTGAAAATTCTATTATCCATAATTTACATAGATCAAATTCAAATAATGGAATACAATCAAGTAAAGAAAATAAAAGGTCAAATTTACAATTCTCTGAAATGGATGACATTAGTATCATAGAATCTGAAAACATTGATATCTCAAATAATAAAAAAAAGCAGCAGGATAAACAACACAGCAAACGTAAATGGGCATTACGAATAAAACTTGAAACTTATGAAAATGCTTCACAAGGTAATTTAAAAGCAATAAGAATAATATTTATAATTTATTATATAACAAGTTTGAAGAAACACATATGAAGAAAAAATAGTATGTGAGTCTCCTAAGTTTTAATGCTTTGGTTGATGGCAATGAATTTTTACACTTTGATCGCTGATGTTTAATTTATTTTTTTATCATATATATGTATGTATTGCACGGTTGTTTTACAAACTTTTTATTTTTTAAGTAGATGAAGACAGTGATGGTGATGTAGAATTATTTTCACCAAGAAGTACAGTTAAATTAAATATAGAACATTCTAAACAATCTGAAACAATTAAAAGTAAAGATTTAGGACATTTATCAACAAAAAATAAAAGTAGGAAAGAAATGTCGAAGCAAATGAATGAGTGCATGAACTTGAAATTAAAGAAACGTGAACAACTAGAAAACTCAGAGCACAATATCATAATATCAGATAATAAATATTTAAAAACGAAGCCTGAAAATAAATATGAGTTAATTGAAATTGATAAACGTGAATCAACTTTAGTAAAAAATAGAAAATTAAACAACTGTAATAATGTCAATTTAGGAAATATTGAGGAAAATAAGTTGAATCAAGAAAATTGCGTAATTATTGATAATAATTCAAAGAGAAAAATATCTGATAAATTAGCTCCTTTGTTTATAAAACGAAGAAAACCAGATCCAGAAGTAGTAGCAGCAAGACGACTCTTTTTGCAGTCAGATATGACCGACAATAATAGTAAAAGTATGAATCGAAAGATAAATGTTTATGGCATATTACCATTTCCACTTATTAGCCACATTACACAATCAAGCAATGCAGATTGGAGTGGAACTGATACTTTTAATATTTCAAAAGATGTTCATAATGAATATGTTCCTATTATAAACGTTAGTAATTTTAAACATTTAATAGATCATTCTGAAATAAAATTAAAAATGTCAGAAAAAGTTAACAAACCAAAAATTCAAGAAACGTTAATAGAAATAGAAAAGCGTTGTTCTAATATAAAGAAAATGTGGGACGTTATTTCAGTTATTGTTAAAAAAGAATCTAATAGAGCAACGTCTCCAAAAACAAGAAATAAAAAAAATAAACAGTTAGAAAAAAAAAAAGCAATGGAATACAAAAATAAAGAAGATCAATCTGAATACTACAGTTGGCCATACAAATATAGGCCAAAAAGTACTCAAGAAATAGTTGGAAATGAAGAAGCAGCTGCAAAATTGAAAGAGTGGTTAATTGGGTGGGAAGCAACATTTTCAAATGAGGATGTTAATGACGAAGACGAATTTTATTCATCTGATAGTAATTACTCCAGAAGGAAGGAAAATAATCATGTAGCTGTATTACTGGGACCATATGGATGCGGTAAAACTGCGAGCGTGTATGCAGTAGCAGAAGAATTCGGTTATACGTTAGTATTATAAATTAATATTTAATTTACATATAAGATTAACTATTTTGCATAATACATAATAACTAAACATTTTTTAGTGTATTGGAGTTAAATGCATCATCTAAAAGAACTGGAAAGAAGCTTTTAAAAGAATTAGAAGAGGCAACTAAATCACATCGAATTAGAAAAGATGAAAAAGCATCTGCTCTTTGCAATTCACTTTTACATGAGGTTGCACCAAAGAAAATATCACAAAACTCTCTTATTCTTATAGAAGATGTTGATATTATATTTGATGAGGACGAGGGTTTTATTTCTGCTACATATCAATTAGCATCAAATACAAAGCGCCCAATTGTTATGACATGCCGAGATATTTGCCCTCATCTAAATAAAATGGCTCCTCAACAAAATAGAATTTATTTTAAAGATGCTGTTGGTAACAGCGTGTCTGCTTTTTTAGAATTGATTTCATTAGCAGAAACTGGTTATAGACTTCCTTTTAATTACATAACAGTAAGTAACTATAAATGTGTAAATTAACTTATGAAAGATTTAACATATATTCAAATTAATATTTATTGCTTTAATTACATTTTTGTAATTGAAAGTTGCATAAAATTATAGATAGTATGGCCGATACTATATGCCTAGTATCACAAACGATACTATGACAAAGAATTTATTATTTACAGGAACTATTGAATTGTGGCGATTTGCGAAAAGCTATATTACAGTTACAATATTTATTGCTATCCGGTCCATCACAAATATCAGAGCAATCCATAAATTTAAGAAACTCATTTTGGCAAAACATGCGATTTTATTTGTACAAACCAGCAATTAAAGTTAGTAAAATGCGTAAAAAGAAAAAAGCTGCAAGTTATGAAATAAGAAATGCTGATAAAAATATATTAATGGATGTAGCAAATAAATTGGATAGCATAGCTTTACTTTCATCTTTAATCGACATAGAAGATTCTGCATTAAATTTATGGCAAATAAAAACACAACCTAATTTATCATTAATAGAAAACACTGCTTCATATTCAGCTTCTGATAATATGTGTCTAGATCTGGCTGAATGGATAAGTAATAAAGTCGTGTATAAGAATCAATTAAACAAATATATCAATGGAAAACAATATCAAGATATTATACTAAAAAAGCAGTTGAATAAAGCAGTAAATTTTGCGTTATCACAGACCACATCGTTATTGCTTGATCGTCAAATTATAGCTACAGATTATCTTCCATCTGTAAGAACAATATGTAGAGTAGAAGAGTCTAGAGTTAATACGAATAATAAAAGGGGAAATCGATTTTTTCATTACCTTTATAATTTGAAAGCATCATCTACGCTACTTAAGCCCAATATTTTAACAGCAGCATGCAAAATAATGTACGATAAAGGTGATAATGACATGCACGTAAATGAACAGATCAGTTCATAATACCAATCTCATATAACAATTAATTTTTTTATCACATATATTATAAAGATTTATAGACATATAGAAAAAATATTTTAAAGTATACAGAACCGTAAAAAAAGAAAATGCAGTGCATGCTTAAAGATGATAAAAGAATTATTGGTATTATTAAACTATAAATATTTCATTTTGTGATCTCGTTTTTTCATAAAATGAATTGTAAATTGTAGATCATTCCTATTTCTGGGACATAAAAATATG